TAGTTACTGGTGCTGTATTTTAATCGATCTGTCTTTTATTCTTTGAGCGATGGCTTTATTACTCATTATTTTGTTGCCCACAGCATGTGGAAGCACTTCTTGAATATTTCTCAAATGCATTCGTTTTATTTTGCTTCATTTTTGCCATTCTGTCTCACCCTCTCAAGTCTTATAACGAGTCTTTGCAGCCAACTCTTGCCCATCTTAGTCCGTTTTCCACCTAGCAGCCAGTGGTCATGTGCACATTTAACCTGATCATGTTGTTCGCCTGCAAAAACCTTCAGAGACATTGAGGATAAACGAAATCCTTAGCTTGGCCAAGGAGGCCCTAAGTGGCTGGACCCTAGGCTACCGCTGTAGTTTTCCAATGTGCCGCTCTGTGACTGGTTTATAGGACCAGTGATGAGGCTAATCCCAGCTTCTCCAATGTGCCTTTTTTCTCCTACATGTCTTCTAGGTTTAGGGGACAACTTTGGCTCTATTGCTCTGGCATGGCGCCTTCATCCTTCGGGCCTCAAATGTCTACTCCCGAGGGAAGCCTACCCTGCAGGGTTAGGCCAGTCCTTTCTCTTTCTTACTCGCACTGCACCTTGAGATGCTGAAGTTGCCTACTGAGACTGGCAGCTGTATCAGCCCACAGGCAAGTCTTTTTGACCATAACGACTTAAGGTATTTGAAGCGACATACTTTTATGTGTGGGCATACATCCTCCGAAGTCTTTACACTCCCACTCTCTCTCTCAGGTCGCTGGCTTCACTCATTTACAGTTATCTATCTGACTCCTTTGTACCAGTTTGTACAATTGAAATTAATTGATTAGTTTTCATTTGTTTACCTTCTTTTTCTGCTAGACAATAAGCACTTTGTGAGCTGGATGCCCAGCCCAGTGCACCGTAAGGTATTCAGTAAATAATCCCTGACCCTGTGGTACAGGACCTAAAGCAGAAGGGACAGTCACTCAGTGCTTGTTGAACCGAGTGTTTGTGTGCCCTGCATTTGTCTTCCCATGAAAGCAGTTGCCTTTTTGACCTTGGGGGGCCCATTATGTCTGCTCGTTTTGCCATTCCTGGATTAGAAAAGCTGTCAGCTTTCTATTATGTATTTGCTATAACACCTTATTTTACGTTTTATACTTTTGTTCACCTAAATTATATACTAAGTGTTTGAATAGATGTAATTTTTAGAGAGGTCGGTAGATATTTCTTTTCTTTATAAGATGCAGCATTCTTGCCGATCTGAGACCCGCCCCTCCCCATGTAAATATTGTGTTATCACTTAAATGATGTAAAGAAAAACATCGGTGCCATTTGAAGTTTTTTCTCACAATTGGAATGAACCCCGCTGCTCCCATTGTGGTTTTACTAAGAACAAGGGCCAGTGTCTTCACATCCCAGTCAAGGGACTTCTGAAAACCGCCTGGTTGTCTGGGCGCCTTGCTTTGATGCTTGCTCCGAAAGGATGCTGTGTGTAGCCGAGCTGCAGGAGGTAGGCCCTTGGCTCTGTGCTACGTAGTGCCAAGGAGAGGGCTGAGTTGGGCTAATGCAAGAATGCTTAGGGTAGAACGAAGAGCCATTTTGCTGTTCAGGGGTGGGGTTGGGGGATTATTGGCAACTTTTCCCCACATAATTCATAGCCTGGAGAAAAGGGCTGTAGACAAGAGCCTGTCAGTTAGAACTATAATTATTTCGTAGTGAACTCGAAACAAGTAACTTCTCTTTTGCTTCCTTACCATCATGTGGGGAGAAAACGTGTAATGTCTGTGGGAGCGAGTGTTGGGAGCCCTGCGTGTTCATATTGACCATAGCGCTTTTGGGGTGCTGTGTACTTTATAAAAATTATAGCGATTATTGAATTCCAGTTGATTCTTACAGGTTGTTTTAGTTGAAAAATAATATCCAATACTTTAAAATAAGGTGAAATACTATTATAGGAATGATAACTTTTTAAAAGTAAATTCATTATCAAGCAAGAATTAATATTTAATTTCCATTTCACCTGTCTGTCCAGTTTTGCGTGTTTTGGAACGTTTTGCTTTTTAATTCCTTGACAGAAAAGGGTACTTCTAATACTTTTCATCAGAGATACAAATTTGTTTCATTCAAGAAACCACCCACGGGGTTAAGAGGAATTATTAATGACTTTTCTACCCAGCATTCCTTCTCACTATCAAGCCTTTTGTGGCAGAATCTCTAAATGTCTGAATACACTAAACTGAGAAAGATCGACGTTTGGCCCTGAGAACTAACACAGGACTCTAAGAAAATACAAAGGGAACACACCCAACGGGCAGCGGTGCTGTCCTCCTGGAAGTGGAACTGGGATGGGCTGAAAAGTGATTTCCTCGTTTTGCTCGGTCCGTGCCTGGGTAACAATAAATATGTATTTTTTTTTTTAAAGATTTTTATTGGGGTATTGGGGGGATGGGAACAGCGCTGGGGAATTGGGGAAAGGGGAACAGACAAGTTGCTGTCGTTTTGTTCTTCAATCTAGTTGTGGAGAATGTTGTTTCACTGGCCCAAGTTGGCACCATCATAGCGCTCTTCTCTGGCGAGGCAGATCAGTCGCCGGCTTCTGGACGGCCGCTCACGCTGGCTGCTGGCCGCTCACGCTGGCTGCTGGCCGCTCACGCTGGCTGCTGGCCACACACGGTAGCCCATGGCAATCCACTGCCACAGGGACTGCAGCCCACGCCGTCGCCGGCGACTCATGGCAGCCCAGCTCCAGGTTGAGCTGTTGTTCAGCATCTTAGCTGTGGAGGGCAGTGTCACTGGCCCTCATATGTGGGATCCGAACCGGGGCCCTCTGGCATCCCAAGCGAGTTCTTAACCATCGCACCACTCGGCCGGCCCAAATATGTATTTCTTTTATAAATAAAAAATGTAATCATCACTACCACCTCATACCCATTAGGATGGCTGCTTGCAGAGAGAGAAAGTAACAGGCGTTGGTGAGGATGTGGAGAAATTGGAACCCTTGCGCACTGTTGGTGGGGATGCATAGCAGCACAGCTGCTGTGGCAAACAGTATGGTAGTTCCTCAAAAAATTAAAAATAGAATTGCCATACGATCCAGTGTGAGGAAAAACTGTTTCTTCCTACTTACAGAATATGTCTCTACCTCAAATGCTTGGATTTTTGCACACCACACAATTCCCCACTTCTCTGTGGAGACCAGTGGAATGTCTTACAATTTAACTCAATTCTGACATAACCAGAGTTAGTGCAGACCCCACAGGTCAAGGGCTCAGTCCCACAGGACTGCCCTCCTCCACTTTAGATGCAAGTCCAGGTTATCACCTGTGCTTTTGACTGGTTATAGATTGAGGGTTACCATGAACCTCTCAGGTTCAATAATTTATTGGGATGTCTCATGGAACTCAGGAAAACAGTTTATTTACTACTGCTAATGTATTACAAAGGAAGGTATTTTAAAGGATATAAATTAACAGCCAAATGGAGAGTTACACAGGGCAAGGAGTGGGGGAGGGGCTTGGAGCTTCCAGATGCTTTCTGGGCATGCCAACCTCCCGGCACCTCCATGTGGTCACCAAATTGGAAGCTGTCTAAACCCTAGGTATTTTTATGGAGACTTAATTGTGTAGGGAATGATTGATTAGTCCATTGGCTGCTGGTGATTGAACGCAATCTCTAGCCCCTCTCTCCCCTCCTGGGAAGTATAGCGGGGAATGGGGCTGAAAGTTCCAATCCTCTAATCACAAGTTGTTTCCCGCAGCAACCAGCCTCCATCATGAGGCTATCCAGGAACCTCCGGCCCCATCATTTCATTAGTATACAAAAAGATATATGTACTTTTCATTTTAGAGATTCCAAGGGTTTTTTTGGAGCTGGGTGCCAGGAAATGGGATAAGAGACCAAATATATATTTCTTTTTTTTTTTTTTTTTAAAGATTTTTATTGGGAAATTGGGGGGATGGGAACAGTGCTGGGGAATTGGGGAAAGGGGAACAGACAAGTTGCTGTCGTTTTGTTCTTCAGTCTAGTTGTGGAGGACGTTGCTTCACTGGCCCAAGTTGGCACCATCATTGCGCTCTTCTCTGGCGAGGCAGATCAGTCGCCGGCTTCTGGACGGCCGCTCACTGCGGCTGCTGGCCGGTCACGCTGGCTGCTGGCCACACACGGTAGCCCATGGCAATCCACTGCCACAGGGACTGCAGCCCACGCCGTCGCCGGCGACTCATGGCAGCCCAGCTCCAGGTTGAGCTGTTGTTCAGCATCTTAGCTGTGGAGGGCAGTGTCACTGGCCCTCATATGTGGGATCCGAACCGGGGCCCTCTGGCATCCCAAGCGAGTTCTTAACCATCGCGCCACTCGGCCGGCCCCCAAATATATATTTCTTATTCTGTCCCACTCAGCAATTCTACCTGTGGGTGTATACCCCAAGGGATTGAAAGCAGGGTGCCCAAGAGATATTTGCGTAGCTGTGTTAATACCAGCATTGTTTACAGTAGCCCAACGGTGGAAGCAGCCCAAGTGTCCATTGGGGAGATGACTGGATAACCAAAATGTGGTATATACTATACAATGAAATATTATTCAGCCTTAACAAAGAAGGACATTCTGACCCACGCTACAATATGGATGAAAAGGATGGATATTATTCAAAGTGAAATAAGCCAGTCACAGAAAGACAAATACTGTATGTTTCCACCTATAAGAGTTACCTAAAGTAGTCACATTCACAGACTCAGAAAGGAGAACGGCGGTTGTCCGGGGCTGGGGGAAAGGAGCATGGGGAGTTGTTTAATGGGTGCAGAGGTTTAGTTTTACAAGATGAAGAGCTTTAGTTGCTCAGTAGTGTACTCCACACTGCCGAACTGTTCAGTTAAAATGGTTACGATGGTAAATTTTACGGTGTATATTTTATTACAATTAAGATTAAAATAAACAACTTAATCACCACCATGAAACCTTAGGAAGTAGAAAAGGAGGTTTGTTCTCAGCAGCCAAGGGGTAACCTGATCTATTACTGGTGTCTTTCAGGCCTGGTGTTTCCCTGACCATGCAGGCGTTTTCAGAAGAGGAAAGGAAGCAGTGGTTGGAAGCCCTGGGTGGAAAAGAAGCTGTAAGAATAATCAATGGTTGAGTTTTATTTCAAATCCTTTAGAGTTGCCTTGTGTTCATTTTTATGTTATTTTTATTTTATAGTACTTGGAGAAAGTTCCCTGTTGAAACCGGTGTTTGAATTCACCTTGGAAGCGTTCAATAGTCTAGTAATTTTGACTTGAGGTAGCAGCAGTGCCCATAAGACTGGTGTATCATTAGTTTTTATTTTTGATTTTCCTTGACTTCGCCACTCTGATGTGCTCTGCTTGAGGAAGTCATCTAAATTCTCCATTTCTTCTTTCCTACCTGACAGTACTTCGGGTGATGAGCACAATAAAGGCTTGCAATTCATTTTGATCTCAGTGGAGATGGAATAGTAAATATGAGACAATGCAGGCCGTAGGATAAGTGACGGCTGTAATTATTTTGCTTGATTTAACAATTCATGGTTTAGCCTAATGGATTACCGTATGCAATATTCTGCAGCCTTAGTGAATGGGCCTCTGTCTTCAGATGGGTTTGAGGAATAAATTAAAGGCAGGGCTATAGATCACAGGAATTCAGTCTGTTTGCCACTTTATTCAAGCACTACTTTCATTTCAGCAGAGTGGTGGCCTTTGGGAGTTGAGAATTGGGCTGATCATGTATTGAATTGGGGACTTAGTGAGGACAATTATAGAAAATGCCATAGAACCAATTTAAATAAACTGTTTAAAGTATTATGATTCTGAATAAATTGCCATTGCAGGTAGCAGGGGGGCTTATCTGGAAAGCATTTGCCATTCAGACAAGGTTTAAAAAAAGGAACCGGCATTGTTTGCAAAATGGAAGAGGGGGTCAACTGTAGTAAAAAGAGAGGTGTCAGAGTGGAGCTTGTGAAATGGACAGTGTTACCTGATGCTAACAGGAGCTCCTTGGTGAGACTGTAGGAAGTCGAAGTCGTGGGGCCAAGGAGGCTGGGAAGCAGTGCATGTCGCCATCTCCATGTGGTGCTTGAAAAATGAACACCCCAAACTATGTATAATTTTAAAAGTAGATCCTATCCGGGAGAATGTGTCATATTTACCTGTATTTAGCCCCAGTAGGTTTATTGCTGTCCACGTATTGTTAATTTGCCCTTGACATTTAGCTGGGAGTCAAGAGTACTTAGAGCATTAATAGTGACTGAGAATCCCAAACAGGCTGTGCTAATTTAAGCCTCTAGTAAAGACAATTCACTGACTAGGATTTACCTTCCCAAAGACACAAGAAGTGCTTTGGAAAGTGAGTTTGAGTAGCGAAAAGATCACTTGACTAAGCCCTTGAGAAATAAGCCTGTTGCCAAAGGTAGTATAACCTTGAAGACATATATAACCTCTTCTTAAGAGTAAAGAGCCAAGTAATTAATTTGAGATAAACAGATAAGGCAAGTCTGCAGAAAGAAAATACAGTCATGCACCGCATATGCGCACCATATACATTACAGTGGTCCTGTGAGATTAGGAGCTGAACAATGCCTGTCGCCTGTCGTAGCCTTTGTACCATATTACGAATTTGTGGAGATGCTGGTGTAAACAAACCTCCTGTGCTGCCAGTTACAGTTACTGTGGTAGGCTATACCATCTAGGTTTGTGTAAGTGCAGTTCATGATGTTTGCACAAGGATGACACCACCTAACGATGCATTTCTCAGAACATATCCATCCGCCTTGTTAAGGGGTGTGTAATTGTATTCAGCTATGTATTTATGTCGGGGCCGTTAAGGCACTATATATTCTTTTGCAGGTGTTATGTATGCCTTACAAATAATAGGGAAGTGCTAGAATTCTTAACGGTAGCCTGGAGTTTTCACCTAGCTAGTTGAGATGTAGTTAGTTAAATAATGGGCAGGAGTCATCGCTTGCTTAATTAAGGAAATACCAAATTTCAGAAATAGTGGCAAAAAGAAGAGCTTCATTTTATTGATTAGAAGGCAGCAGTTTGCCATTCCTAGTGTAAGGCTGAGCATTTCAAATACATGAACTTTTAATAAATTCCTTAAGAATCATGGCCCTTCGCTTTGTTTTTGCTACTTTGGCATGCCTCGGTGAGAGAAAAATAGACTATCTTTACATTTGAACACATGATGGTAACTCACCAATATCAGTGTATTTTTTTTTGCATGGTCCTAGGTATGCCTACTAGAATCATTTTATTGATTTATTAAAGATATTATTTTTCCTTTTTTTTCTCTTACTAGCTGCTCCATAGTTTTAATAGAGCCATCATCCCAAGACCAGAAGGAAGTAAGTGCTAATTTTTAAAAATGACTGTTTGCCTCCCTTTTTTATGAGTGTCCTTGTTTTCATTACTGATGTCAAACTGTTGCTGGGTGCTCACTCTCTGCACCCTCTCTAAGTTCATCCTCCAAATATTCAATGTATTCTGTCTTATCCACTGGGGACCTTCTCAAGTTTTCCTGGATTACTGTAACCCTCATTGATTTTTTTCCCTCCATCTGAGTTTTTTTAAAAAAGTCTTCCTCTGCAATTACTTTCTCTGCAAAAACCAAAATACCTTCTCTACAATTCAATTTGATATTTATTCTTATAGCCATAAATGAACACATAAGAATTTCAGTTGCGCATCTTTGAACTTCCTGAGTTGTAAACGCCTGTGGGTAGGAGCTGTTCATTAGGTCCCCTGTGTCAACCCCCCCCCCACACACACACACACACCCTCACCCTTAAGTCCTTTATCCTTAAAGTCTCTGAGTGTGGCTGTACAAACTATATATCATCATACCTTAGAAAATGACAAACAATGGCCATACTTATTCAGAAATTCGAGGACAGGCATCTTCCCATGCATTGTATGCACTAGAGGGGAATGAAGTCCTGCTTGCCTCTGTGCTCTGGATTAGTATTGAGATCAAGCAAAACCATGATCAGATTTGCTGGGTTCTTTATGAATATACCTGTGATATCTTTGGGGACGTTAAAACTCCATGTATCACATGTCTACAGTTTGGAAACATTATGTTATATAACACGTGATTGCAAAATTATCGTGATACGTATCATTTGAGCCAATGCAGGAATAAAAGACATCTCTTCTAGCCTGGCACTGGAATGGACAGTGTGCCAAGGAAGGTTGTAAATATACTGGAGCAGCTTCTTCTTTGTCCCTCCTCCTCTCCCTTTCCTGCCTGTCTTTCTCTTCCCCTCCGTTTCCTCCCTCTCTCCCTCCCCACCTCCTTCCTTCTCCTTTTCTCTTCTCTCCTTTCCCTGTTCTCTTGCTTTCTCTTTTTTTTTTATAGAGAAACGGAAACATGCCTTTTTTTTTTTTGAAAAAGTCATTTTACCAAGCAGAAAGAAACACTTGCATTTTATAAAACGTTATGAATAGTGGATCCTTAAACAGTAAACCACTGCCCAATTTCTCTCATTAAAATTCTCTTCAAGCTTAGCATTAAACCTGCGAAGTTTATATTCATGGAGTGTTCACGCTATCCCCGCTGAGAGCCCAGAGTTAGTATAACTGTTGCCTAGTTTAAATACAGACTACAGTATTTGCTTTCCCTGATTTCATTTTGACACAAGAAATTGTCTTTTATTAGGTTGCTCAAATATGCCAGCCTAATCATAGTCAGGTGTCTATAAATATATAAAATTATATTTTCAAAATAATCTTTTCTGCTACATGAATCATGTTTTAAATTCATTATGAAAATAATAAAATATTAAATGCTTAAAGCATGATATAAAATACGAAATTCTTTTTGAAGCGCATGACCCAAATAATACTTTTATAAACTGTTTCTTAAATTTTTTCCCTAGGTTAAAAAAAAAAAGTTTCTTATTTCTCCAACTGTAAAGTAATTTTAAACCTTCACTCATATATAATTTTTAAAAAACTGAGTTGTTGTTGGAATTTTGGAAAAATGTAACTTAACTATTTCTAGATAGTTTCCCCAAGATTTTTATCACTTTTTTCTACTGTTCAAAATAAGTTATATTTAATTAATATTAAATTTATTTTAATTTATAATTTATAATTTATTGGTAAGGGATGTCCTAATATTCTAGTAAGTGGTCCTCTAAATATATACAATATTTAAACACAGACCACATGATTTCTAGTTTTCTTTTTTAATAATGAAATAAAAATTAAATTGAATTACGTTTTTTCCCGTTTTTGTAAGGAAGGGAAATGTAAGTAATTACGCCCTTAATATTTTATAATTATATCTTTTAGGTGCACAGTTGGATAAGATGGGATTCACAATTCTCAGAAAATGCATCAGTGCAGTTGAAACTCGAGGTAACGTGATTCCTGAATCATTTTTATTCATGAAAGGCTATAGGTATGTAAAATCTAAGAGCCATTTAAAATGCTATTGCGTGGTTAAGTGTTGTAAAGTGAAAACCATTAATCACAAAATGCACATTTTAGGTGTCAGAGTTTCAATTGTTCATTTATTATGACAGGACAGGATTTTCTTTTTTCATACACACATTTCTCGCTGGCATTGAAACATGAAGTCAGTGCTGAAATGAGAATTATTAGAAGATTCTGCAGTGTCGGACTGCCACTCTTAATCATCATTTTCCATTGTCCTCTTGGCCTCCATTTAAGAAATTAGCTTTATTGATGTATAATTTACATACAATAAAGTTCACTGATTTTAACTCTACAAATTATTGAATTTTGACAGATGTATACAGTTGTATAGCTGCTACCGCAATCATAGATTTCTGTCTCCCCTCAAAATTCCTTTGTGCCTTTTTGCAGTCAATCCGTATTCTCTCCTTGGCCCTTGGCAACCACTGAGCTGCTTTTATCACTATGGTTTTATTGTGGTTTTTTTTTGAGTCTGGCTTCTTTATTTACCATAATGCTTTTGAGATTCACCTTGTTGGGTGTATCCTTCGCTCATTTTCTTTTTAATTCTAGGTAGTATTTCATTATATGGATATACTGCAATTTATTTATCCACTCACATGTTGATAAATATTTGGTTGCTTCCATTTTAAATTTAAGGAAAGCTAATCTTTTCCCCAACCAAAAGCTCAAAGGCATTTTTTTATAGTCCCTAAGGGAAAATAGGGCTCTGGCCCTTTGCAGCCATTCCAGCAGACTTCAGAGAAACTAAATATTGAACAGGCTCTCCCTGGAGGTTGAATTTTTATTTGCTTGGAGACCTAGTAGAGTATGGATAAATTAAATATTGAATTCACTTTCATACATTGTATATCCCAGTCCTACTTTGGGTGACTTAGTGAGAAGAAGCATTGCATTCATGGTTTCTGTCAAAATAAGGTCTTTGTTATCAAGCCAGGACTGCCACCTGTGAAACTGGAGTGCTAGGTAACAGATGGATGTGAGCTGCTGTGTGATTGGGGGATTTGCCAGTCAATGATAAAAGCCCAGGCCACAGAAAGTCATCTCTCCCATACTCTCTTACAGTGACAATTCAGGCTATCACAGAATTTCATTCATTTCAACCTGCTCTGAAGTTGAGCTGACAAATCTCTTCATTTTCATCATGCTTCACAATTTCCAAACTTTAGAAAAAACACTGCGATTTTCATGTCTCTCACTTTCTTATTCATGTTTTTCTTTCCTGAGCTTCTTAAGAACCTTAATTATATCACTTGCATGTTTATTGTTTTGTGAAATTTTTTCCCAAAGGGTACATTTTATACATATTTGCTTCTTCCTGAACAGATAAAAATCTATCTAGAACTCTTTCTGGTTAGTATTTGTAGTTTTTTTTTGGAGTGTTGTGTGCATTGAATAGACATATATACTGGAATCTGCATATATTGAATGCATTTTTATTATAAACATACAAATTGTTGGATGTTTTAAACAGAACGAGTCTACACATTTTAAGTTAGACTTTTTTTCCATTTAAAAATGTAAAAAAGCCTATATTTTTCTTTTCATCTTTTGTCCTAAAGGTCTTCCATTACTAAAGCCTTTTGTTTTTAATGGAGTAATAGACTATAGAGTTAAAAGAATCAACTGTCAGATCATATTATTAAAACTGATGAGGAACATTACAGAGTCTCTGAGGTTTTTATGCTTAATTTGGAAGTACCTTCAAGGAATTTGGCCTTCATGATTCAATGATTTTTCCCCAAATCAGCTATCATGGCTCTTTATTTTTTATTATTTTTTATTTTTTTTATGCTGCAGGGGTTGTTGCCTCATTTTTTCATCAGTCAGAATAAAGCTAGTTTATGTCCCTATAACAAGAAACCCACAAGTCTCTGTAGCTTAAAACAACACGACTTCATTCTCACTCAAACATTGGTAGGAGGGCTTTGCTCATCACCGATAACTAGGCTTAAAGGTACCTGATTGCCTTGGCAAACCAACCACGTTAAAGGTCCCTGCTTGCTCTGCCAGAGGGAAATAGCTCTGGAGGGCTTTGGACCAACAAATGAATACTCTGGTTTTCAAGTGAGTTACGTTTGCTCAAAACTAATTGGTCAGAAATAGCCATGTGGCCCCTCTCAACTCTTAGTGTCTTGGTAACACAACCCTCCCAGAAGCCTGGAAAACTGGTAGAAAGTGGAAATATTTGGTGAATCCCATCAGTGACTACTGTATCCTTTGTGCGTCTGCAGGCCTATTGATTAGAGGCATTTAATCAGATCTGATTGAAGAATGACTTCTAATCACTGTTTTCCATGTTTTAAACATGACTATTATTGTCTGAAAACATCCATTTCATATGTTTTGGCTAAAGCAGTTAGTGTACCTGTTTCCTAACATGTTCTTTTAAAAATGATATTTGACATTTTTCTTACCAATCTTAATTGTGACATCACTGAAATATCAGACACATGTCTACAATTTACAGTCGTCTTCAGTGCCCTAAGAAAGATAACATATTTTTAGTATACTAACATAGCTTTGATAAAATACATAATATAGATGGCATTGATATAATACAATGCAGTACAATGTTAGTTAGCATATATGCTAATGTATGCTAATGCATCTGGGCCAGGTGAGCCTGTTTAGCAGTTAGTCTACTTTTGAGAGGAGAACAAAGCCCATCCCACTACAGTATCAGCATCAAGGAACATACTGTCTCATTTCTATGGAATCATTTGCTCATGAAGTTGGGATACGTGTGGGAGTCAGATCAACTGATCTTTCATCCGTTTCCCGAATATTTGTTAATGATTTGTATGGACCGGCTCTTACTGGATCCAGGCTTTCTGACTACCTCCTAAGTATTGCTCGCGTGCAGCACGCTGAAAGGCTTCCTAAAGCCGTCCTTCCCAAGCATCGCTGCACGCTACTGGAATCACCTGGGACCCTTAAAAAATACTGCTGTCTGGCTCTCACCCCCAGTCAGTGTGACCTCATTGCTATTGGGTGTGAACTGGGAAGTGGGATTTTTAAAGGCCCTCAGGTATTCTAATACATAGCAAAGTTTGGAAACTTCTGATCATCGAGTTGCTTGCGTATTGGAGAAAAGGGATTCGCGGTTGTTAGCTTTATGTTTACAGCGTCCTGCTACATGGAGAGCCTTTCTTTTAATTTCTTTTAAAATAACCCAACCTAAACGCAAACAAACAACACAGAAAAGTTCTGACGGAAACGGCACAATGTTCTTTGCTTCCTGAGCAACAGATGAGCCATCTCAGTGAAACCCTAGTTCTAACCTGAACCCAGTCAGGTCACCAGTTAGTACCGAGCAATCACAGGCTGCGCATAGCTTTGCCCTAGGCCTTTGGTGATGCATATTAAAGGTTGGTTCCATGTAATTCTCAATCCAGAGTGGTAGGCAAAGCATAGAGATTTGTAAGCAGTTGAAGTATATGTAACAGGTAGCCAAATCTAAGTTTGCAAGGATGAAGAGATTTTGATATGCGTGTTGATGGAGTGCAGTGTACTTGGTGTTGACTGAGGCCTGTGTTTAGGAACAGGCATCCTTAAAGGAGAGGGAAGTAGATTTTGGCGTTTAGAGAAACCTCGGCAAAGGTGTGGAGGTGGAAAACAAGCCAAACTGGATTGGAAAGGAAGCATGGGGACACGGAGGAGATACACACGGCGGAGACGCAGGCATCTCGTGAAGGAGCTGGGTGAGAGGGTGGTGGGTCGCAGAGTCGCAGGCTCAGAGGGGTAAATGAGAGGACAGCAGCCGTGTGTGGGTGACTTAGTGCGGAGGGAGGAATTCTGCCTCTGTTGGGGTGTTCTGTAGGGGAGGGAGCCGATTCAGGAATAGATTTGGCCGGGGTCAGGGATAACCGATACAGCCGAGTGATTTAGCAGAGGAAGTGAAGGTCACGTTAGGTGGTTGGTTGCACAGAGAGGATCAGAGTTGTGCAATGAATTCCACCTTCAAGGTTTAATTTGGGAAACCAAGGATCTCAGGGAAACTCAGCGGTCCCTGGCAGACCTGATAACATATATTGGGATTACCAGGGATGCTTCTTGAAAATGCAGATTCCTGGGTTCAATGCAGTTCTCTTGAATCAGAATGGGACAAAGTGGCCAAGTTTCAGTGCATCAGAAGCCAAGGTCAATTCAAATTTCACATGCTTTGCAGGTGAACTCAAGGTAAATCCACAAGTGTTCACCTCTTGTTCAGTCATCGCACTGTTTCACCTCTGGCCCTGCCTACCTACTATCTCTGCGTGACCCCTAGTTTCTGGTGCTCTGTAGTAGTTGGTCCCTTTGTGGGAAAACACCGCATTATTCTCAAGCAGTGTTACATGACCTTCCCCCATTGTTTTGGCTTTGCTGAAAATCAACGTGACCGTGCAGCTACCATGACCTGTGGCTCTCATGATGGAGCCTGCTGTTCTGCCTGCATCTTCGGAAGAACATGATGGGCTCCTTCTCCTTCGTTCCTCCTGAGCCTCTGAAACACCAGCGACCCAGGGCTTCCTTGAGGACCCAGCACTTAGACTGAGTTCTGAAAGACGAGGAGGAAATGTTCAGGTGCACGGATGTGGGGTGTCAGAAGGAAGGATTTTGTTAGAGGAAAGAGTGGGGGTTGAGGTGTAGATGTTTGAAAGAAGGTGAAGCACCTGAGACGTAACTCATAGATACGGATAGTTGCCAGAGGGGAGGGCTGTGGGGAGGTGGGTGCAAAAGAAGGGAAGGGGATTAAGAAGTGCAAACTTCCAGTTACAAAATAAGTCGTGGGACTGTAATGTACAGAATAGGGAGTGTAATCAACAATGTAATAACGACATATGGTGACAGATGGCTACTCGACGAATAGATGATCTCTTCTTGTGCTATTGGGTTGTTGGAAAAGTCATGACGCTTTTTTGCAACGGAAAACAGAA